ATTTACAAATAAAAATATCTTTTAACAATTTATAATATAGTTGTGTGATCTTTCTTCACCTTTTATATTATTTCTCGTAGGATACATGTATCACCGCGTTATCTTGTATCCTAAATATTATCTTATAAATTAATTTTAATCTCAAAATAAATTTTCTTTTACTAAACATAATTTTAATTCACCAATTTTAAAATTTTTATAGATAGAACTATGTGTCTTTGAGTTCTTCATTGCACCTGAAGATACGTAAAAACAGGAATCGAACCTGTCAAGACAAAATAATTTTCAAAAATAAATTTTCTCTTTACAAAGATACCAAAAAATATTTCAATAAATAAAATTTCTTTTTTTATTTTTAAATAAGATAGCGACATTTATTGTTTTGAGGTTAAATAAATATTTTTCAAAATTAAAATAAATTTCTGCAATTAATTTAAGGTAACCATTTTTAAACAGATGTTGTAAGGTGTTGATACCTTCCCTACACATAAATGAGTCCCCAACTTATATTTTGTTTCAAAGATCATATTATTTTATAAGTTTTTCTAAGGTTTTCTTAAAATAAACTTTGGTGACGACTTCTCTGATCTTTTAAAAAATATTTTTTTATTCCTAAAAGATATTTTTTTTAAACATGATTTTGCTATACCTTTGCGACCGCCCTACAATAATAGGTTATCCTTATTTACTTCTCGATATAGCGAGAGGATTTTAGAGAGCTTGATTCTGAAGGATCTTTGTTTCTACAACGAGATATCCTGCATTTTACATCAATTAAACTCTCTTAATTTTATACAACATGCACAAACAACTAACATAAATTACAATAATAATACATAACAAAATAAAAGTGTTACAAATGTCCTACAACTTTCAAAATTAATTTTTTTTTTATATTTTAAGAAAGAAAATACAATAAAAATAATGATGTTACAACAATAATCAATAACCATTTTTTTTCACAATATTAATCATAGATCCAATTATCATTACTAATAGGGCTGTCAAAAAGGCCAAAGCTCTGGAGCAAGCCCTACCCAACCCTAGAATAATTTATTAAGCCATGTTTTAATATTAGTTAAAATAATTTAATTTGACCCTAGGTTATTTAGCCTCACAATATAGGGCTAGGGTAGGGTTACCCATGGGTTGGCCGAAATACTTCTAAATTTTGTTTAGCAAGCCCTAATCCCAATTTTCTAATCCCAATTTTGGTTGACATCAAATGATTGTTTAAATTTTTGTTGGATTCCTTTATTTTTTGAAATTATTTTTTTTATTATAAGAGTTGGTTTTGTAGAGACTGGTCTAGCATCAACCCACATAGTGCTGTTTTTAATTTGCAGAATTATCTTGTTTGGTGCTTCATCGACTTTGTTAGACTATATTTGGTATGTTTCAGGTGAGGCATTTCATAGTGTAAACAGTGAGTTAAGGGAGTTGCCTGCAGTTGAATTGTCAACGCTTCCTTTGATTGTTAACGTTTTGGCATATGCTTTAATCCTCTCAGTTATTTTGTTTCTACCTTGTTATTATTTACTGTTTTGCAATCTCATCACATGTTCTTCCAATTTTTTCTCTTAATTTTAAGTCTAATTTATGTATTGTTGGCTTTTTCTTGAAATCTTCCAAATAACAATTCTGAATAAGTTTTGGAAGTACTTGTTTCAATTGCTATAAAAACAACAGTTTTTTAATTGAAATCTATCTTTTCAAGTTTTTGATTTATTTTATTGAACAATTTTTTGGTGCAGCTTTCTTTGGTTTCATGTAATATGTAGCCAATTCATTCTAGAATTCTAATCAATTTAAAAAACCTTTGATAAATCGTCACTAACATTGGATTCATTACTTCTTTTTTTTTTTTTTCCATTTATTGTGTTCCTTTTCACTTTTACTAAATGAAAACTTTAATCACACAATCCATCCTGCTATCACTGAGATGTGGGTTGATTATTTTTAAGGCATCCCAATCTTTGTGTATCAACCAAAAAATCCCCTAATCAGACCTTTAGCAGGACATCACAAAGAAGCTAAGTGAACTGCTAAATTCAATTGAACTCCTAATGCATCACTCAACTAGGGAAAATTCTAGCATTTCTTTCATATACACCAAACAATTGCAAATTAAGAACAAAAATTTTGTAATTTTATTTACAAACTATTTGATCACTCCAAGATATAAATCTTATCCTAGAATGTAGTTAATTATGAATAATAAGTAGTAACTTGAAAGTATAAAAGTCCTTGATCCTCTGAATAAAAATAAAAAAGCAGATTAATATGTTTGCAAGTACATTTCATATCATATATTATTTAGTTACCGGTATTTCAAAAATCACTTGTTAGCTAAAAAAATTGATGATTAATGAGCCCAATATTTATTGTTTGCGGAGATGGTGTTTCTTTTTTATTTTTCCTGGTATTTTGCCTCTGGCTTGATTTTGTTGTTCAATTTGCTGAGTTTTTGTTATTCTATGTTGGTTTGAACAGATTCGAAATCACAAGGAATACAAGCAAAAGATCTTATCAAACTATCCAGTAAGTTTTCTGCTAAATGTCAGGATCAGAACAACTGTCTTACTCATTTGTAATTTAAAAATTTTAAATTTTGTTATTCTATTTTAAATTGGATTACTCAGAAGAAGGTCTTTATGATAAAATAATTTTTTGTTTTAATATATTTATCAAATAATACTTAAATTTGTTTGTTCTAATTTTTATCTTATGTTTCTTTTAATGCATAGGAACTATAACTTATATTATGGATTCTATGAATAAGACTATGAATATAGATGATAAAGTTGTTTCTGAAACTCCTCCTGTATTATCTGGAAGTGTCGAGACACCTAGAAAACACCTTTCGAATGTTTGGAAATATTTTACTAAAACTGGTGTAGATAAGGATGGGGTTGAAAGAGCTGTGTGCAAATATTGTGGCCATGATTATGCTATTGGAAAAAATTTCAAGACAAAAAATCATTATGGAACTTCACATTTAAGTCGACATGTTTCAATTTGTAAAAACATTCAAAGTTCAAGTGTAGATGCAATTCCTACTTAAGATGTAAATTTTGGTGCGAGAAAAATTAACCAAAAGACTCAGTGTAACATTCTTGCGCAAGCCATAATCAAACATGATCTTCCTTTTAACTTTGCAGAGTATGATATGATCAAAGAGTGGATCAGTTATGTGAATCCTAATGTTGTAATGCCCTCTAGGAATACTGTTGTGTTAGATGTTAAAAAAATTTACATGAGAGAGAAGGAAAAATTCAAAGAAGTCATGTCTAATATTCCTAACAAAGTATGTCTTACCTTTGATATTTGGACAGCAGCTACGACTGAGGGTTATTTGTTTAACTGTTCATTTTGTTGATGAGAATTGGAGATTAGTAAGTAAGATTCTGAATTTTTGTTAAATGAAACCACCTCACATTGGAGTTGAATTAGAAGCCACTTTATTTGATTGCTTGAAGCAATGGAGAATTGATAAAAAAGTTTTTTCTATTACCTTAGATAATGCTTCTGCCAATGACAATATGCAAGATATTTTGAAAATCATCTTCGTGTGCAAAATAGTTTATTATGTGATGGAGAAATTTTTCATGTGCGTTGTTCTGCTCATATACTCAATTTGATTGTACAAGAAGGTCTAAAAGTAACTAATGAAACACTCTTTAAAATAAGAGAGAGTGTTAAATATGTGAAGGGTCCGATGGAAGGATGATTAAATTTCAAGATTGTGTGTAAGATGTTAGAATAGACACAACAATTGGGTTAAGATTAGATGTTTCTACTAGGTAGAATTTGACATACTTAATGCTTGAGAGTGCAATCAAATATGAAAAAGCTTTTGATATTCTTCCGGTGGTTGATAGGAATTATAAATATTGTCCATCATATGACAAATGGAGGAAATGAGAGAAATTTTGTGAATTTTTAGAGCCATTTTATGAGACTACAAATATGATTTCTGGTTCTTGTTATCCGACTTCAAACTTATATTTTATGCAAGTTTGGAAGATTGAATGCTTGTTGAATGAATATTTATTGAACGGGAATTATGTTATAAAGGATATGGGCTGTAAGAATGAAAGGAAAATTTAAAAAATATTGGAAGAATTATTGTGTGTTGTTAGCTTTTGGAGCTATTCTTGACCCTCGTTTAAAGCTTGATTTTTTTAAGATTTTGCTATACCAAGCTTGATCCTTTAACCTCTCACGAGAAGGTCAACAATGTGAAGGATAAGTTTGATAAACTTTATGGAGAATATGCAAACAATTTTAGTGTTACAAGTGGCATCAACCTTCCAATGAATCCAATTTGTTGTCAAAGTCACATGAAGATGGAAATAAGTCAAAGAAATCAAGATTGTTCAATGTATGTTCTTTTATGTCATTTTAATTATAGTGTGTTTCTTATTTTTATTTTGTTTAAAGGGTTATTATGTTATATTTTGTAGGAGTTTAAAATATTTTAAAATGAAACTAAGTCTACCATTAGTAAGAGTGAATTGAATTTGTATTTGAATGAGTCACAAGTTGATTATGATGATATTGAAAAATTTAATGTGTTTCATTATTAGAAGAATAATGAAAAGATATTTCTAACACTCTCAGTAGCATCAAAATTTGCTTTTAGCATTGGTGGACGTGTTCTCACTAATGATTAATTATGAAATTAAATTTGGATTAAAAACTTACAAATGTTGAAATTTTTTTGGCCCTTAAAACCTTGACTCTAACCCTGACCTAGTGGGCTTCTTGCCTCATAGAACTTTTGATTTATGGGGCTTTTAATTGAATTTTTTTAAGTTTCTAATTTCTATCTTTAAGAGCTTTAATTTCTATTTTTTTGTGTGCGTGAATTAAGTAGTTTGATTAACAAATTTATTGTTTCAATCGCCTAATCTAATGCACTTAGCCCTGTAATATGATACAAAAAATATTTCCTCCTTGTTTAAAATACTTTGATATTACTCACAAACAAAGTTCAATATATTAGATAGAAAAAAGGTTCTTCTTCGATCATTCTTCAATCAATGGCAGACTGGTCTGAGCTCCCAAAGGAACTCCTCCACCTAATATCGAAACACCTGGAAAGCCCTCTTTACCTTCTTCGTTTTCGATCGGTGTGTTCCTCATGGCGGTCCTCTTCTTTCCCTTTGCCAATAACCCTCTCCAACCACCCCATTTCCCACACCTTCTCCCTCTCTACACGCACCCTCTTTCTCATCACCCCTCCCAACGATCACTCTCTCCCTTGGCTTATCAAAATTGCCCATCAGCCACGCTCCACCACGCGCCTCTACGATCCCCTCTCCGGCTTCCTTCTTAAACGACACCGATTCCTTCTCGACCTCTACCACCTACCCGTCCTCCACCTGGCCCACGAGTTCTCCCTCGCTGACACGTGTCCCAACTCCCTCTACATGGAGAAGGTCGTCCTCTCTTGCCTTACTCCTCAAAATGACCGTTTTGTCCTTCTCACTATCCATATTTCCGGTAAACTCGCTCTCTTCAAGTGCGGCGATTCGGACTGGACCATTATACCCGACATGCCGACTCCATACGACGACGTTTGCGTCTTCGAGAGAGGGCTCTACGCGGTGGACAACACGGGTCGAACCGTGAAGGTGGGGTTGGACTCGGGTTTGGATTTGGTGGCTGAACCGGTTTTTGGTGGGGACAAGAAGTACTTGGTGGAGAGTGAGGGGGAGTTGTTGCTGGTGGACAAGTACTTGTCCTCCAATTACTTTTGTAGTTCGGGTTTGTTTTTCGAGGAGTACGATGAAGAGGACGATGGTGAATTGTGTGAGTTTGGGTGGGAGAGGACGGTGAGGTTTGGTTTGTTTAGGCTCGATCAAGAGGGGAAGAGGTGGGTGGAGTTGAAGAGTTTGGGGGAGAGGGTCTTGTTCTTGGGTGATGATTGTGCTTTTTCTGCTTCTGCCAGGGATTTGCGTGTTGCCAGAGGGAATTGTGTTTTGTTTAGAGATGATGCGTTTGGTGTTGATGGCGTGGGGAGTGGGATCGGTGTTTTTTGCTGTGATGATGGCCGGATTTCGCCTCTGTCCGATTGTCCCGGTTATTCCCAGTTGTTCTGGCCGCCACCGGATTGGGTTGGGTTGCATTGATACTTGAAAGAGAATATGTACGTAGAATGTATGTATGCTGTACGGTAGATGGTATCTGAATGTTCTGTTGATGAATTGTGATATGAATTACATGAATTTGACTTCTTTAAAGTTAGGAGATATGTTATGTTTGAAAGTTAAGGGTGTAGTTGCTGTTGATTTGAATTGAAGTATCTTGTAAATTTAAACTTACATATTTGAATCTACAATATGTATGCCTGCATTTACCCACTTAATGGGTCTCCGCATTTTAGAGGATTCAAGTTTGAATATCTGCATTGCTTGGGTTACAATTCACTTGTTTTGTACCTATATAGTGCTTAGTGCTGTTTTAGTTCTACGGTACATCAGGTATTACTTCATTATTAATTTGTGCATCTGTTTTGGTTCAGCCTATGACTGCTTATATAGCACAGGATGGAAGATGGATACGTTTAGTGTTAGATTTAAGGTGCATTTGGTTGAATAACTTGATTAAATGTCTATTTATTAAGAAGTTTTCTTGTTGATTGAGTACTAATTCCATAAGTGCTTAAGAGTTAAGACAGCTAGTGGAATTGTTGCAGTTGAGAGGGATATTGAGAATGAGGAAGTAAACAGATTCACCATAAGCTTATTAAAATAAGGGAAAAAAAAAAAAAGCTTATAAGAGATCTTAAGCTTAACCAACACATATAAGTTTTGTTTCTAAGTGTTTAGATCATAGTTATTAAAAGTTAAAGCTGGACTGAACTGACTGGTTGAACTGGGATTTGTTTAGGTAACCGCTTCATTTACAAACAACAAGAACAATAGCTAAGCTTTAACTTTATCCCATTAGGTGAAGTCTGTTACATGGAACTCGGTCAAAAACCAAATTTTTAAAATTCTGGTTAATCAAAATATCTCTTTTAATAACTTTATTTCAGGTTCTTTTGGGTCTCCCTCGACCCCTTTTTACCGGAGTAAGAATCATGCAATTCACTCTCCTTAATGATGCCAACAAAGGTAGCTGCTTTAATATGATTTTTGGTATAAACCACAATTTGGAGTCAATAGTATGTCCTGCCACCAAGGCCACTGGGCATCCATACTTGGATGGTTATTTCCGTTGAGCATACATGCTTCTGGAGGGACTACAGGAATAATAAATAGATCATAAAAGGATTTGTTAGATTGTTTCTAAAAAGTGGAAGTAAAAATTCTTCATCCAGGAACTGCAGATCTTCTCCACAGTTCGTTTTCTCATCCTAAATGGCAATTACTGTGTTCCTTTTAGTGATTTTAGTGATGTGGGAAATATTGCGCTTTGTCTCAAGTTTTGAAATGATGACTTCTATTTGCCATACTTCATTTTTAATTATTTTGCCAATAATTTTAAATAGATCTTTCTCATATATAATAATGCACTCTTGGCTGCTGGAAATGTTATGCACTCTCTGAAGAGACATTTATATCATGACATCGCTGATTATTGGGGGTATAACTGCAAGTAGAGGGCATTTGATGTTAATATTGCTGTTTTCACCACTTCATTTTGCCCTAGTACAAAATTGTGCTGTTTTGGTACATATTGGATTGTGGCCCTATACTGGGCTGACTTATCTCTTAAACTATCTTTCTTCCTTTAGAAATTGCCCTGAGTTGGGGTGACTCTAAATTGCTGTGTAAGGTATTCAGGAATAATCTATTAAGAATACAATGGTTCTGCTAATATGGTGGCTTATGCAACTAATGCAGGTAAAGCAACATGCTTAGTGCTCCAGTGTAAGATGAATAAGGGCCAAGATGCTTGGATGTGGTGGAAAGACCAATTTGCCTCACCCATTGAGCCATTAACAATTTGTTGAGATTGATCAAGCTGGTATTGCATATTGAATTATGATTGCTAAGCTCGTCAATTCAGCCTGTCATATACCTACAAGGTTCATCAGCCGAAACTTTTATCACTGCACTTGTGGAGGCATTATCTCCCTTTTAATTGGTTGCCATCAATGCAAATATTTTTCTTGAGATGTTGAGACTAGTTATTTTAAACACTTGTAGATATTTCCAGTATACTGAAATATTTTTACCATTTTTTTCAAATGCAAATAGTGAATTTTTAGAATTAATGACTCATTTGCTTACCTTTTCTGAGCTGAATTAATTTAACTAAATATCCAAGGAGTGAGGTGGGAAGAGGGAAAGGATACAGGTGCTGAATCTTGAATAGCTATGTAATCCTGAACTTTATAGCATTTGATGTTCACAACATTGTTCTGGGGTGCACTCTTTAAATCTGTACCTGACCTGAGACCTTTCAAAATGATGTAGTTAGCTTATTACTTGGTTACTGTAGCTCAAATTTTGTCCCGAGTACATAATTGGTGCATGCATATAAATTTGGATACAGCATAGCAAAGTGAGACCTAAAGTTTAGTTTAAATACTTAATACTTCTAGATTTACCAATGAAGTTATGTAGCTTTGCATAATGCAATTGTTAGGATCTAATTGCAAGGTATGAGACCCGAGTCTCAAATTGAAAGTTTAGGATTTTTGGTGTGGGTTTTGTAAGGCCTTAAGTTCTACAACTGCATTGGCTTGCTTTTGGGTTGAGGTCCTCTGTAGGTTCTTATTAATTGGTCTTTTGGGTTTTTCATCTTTTCTTGCAACTGTAAACGAGCAGCGTGGAAAGTGACGCCCGCATTGTGCATAGTGAACTCTTGTGGGGGTTGGAGCTACAAAGTGAGGCGAGATATTAGGATCGAATTGCAAGGAATGGGGTTGGAGTTTGACATTAGAAATATGGGATATTGGTGCATGATATGGAAGGCCTTGTGTTTTCCAACTCTTTAACAGTTAATTTTGAGTGTAGAGATCTCCTAAGGTTCTTATCAACTATCCTTGTGTTTCAGTTCATGTAGACAAGATGATTGATGCCCTTTGCACTTGGAAAAGCAATTGATTGATGACCTACTATATGTCCCCTAGTAACCTAATCTCAGTAAAGCGGCATGCATGAACTCCCAAGTTTACCCATTATGAAGCAAGTTTAGTGGATGGAAAAATTTCTGAGTTTGCACGGCTCAACACCAAAATAGTCAATGCTTAACAGCTTATTTGTTTAGACGGTACAATCTCAGTTTTGAGAAACCGAAATTTGTTTCCTTTTGTTAAATATCCGCTCATTTGCCTCGTAATTTGAGAATTTTACTTGTAATAATTCCATTTGCAATGACAGCCAAACAGGTAAATAAATGGATACATCAATATATCATTTTATATATATTTATTTTATAGTTATCAAAATTAAAAAGTTTATTTGAAATAAATTTTCCCCTATCATTTTCACTATTTCTCATACAATAATTTGAAAACATAAAATAAAATGTAATAACAATAATGTATTTTTCTTGTAATTAAGAGTGAAATTAGAAAATATTAGGCGAAATTAATACTTTGGTTCTCTGACTTTATTTTTTTATTTTATTTTGGTCTTCGATTTTTTGTTTTAGTTTAGTTCTCTAAAGTTAGAGGAGTAAAATAAAAAGATAATTAGAAGAGTAAATTGAATTAAAAAATAAAATTGGAGAAGTAAAGTACTAATTTTATTAAAATAAAAACAAAAAGTATTACTAGAATCGTCCCACCCTTCCTTTTACAAGCCTTATGTGATGGTATTCGTTTCATTTTTGTGAAGATCCTTTTCTTTTGGGTCGTGTGTGAAGATCCTTAGGCTCATGGGCCTTCAAAATACAGTCTTTAAATAACGGCCATATATACATAGGAAAGCAATCTCTAATCAAATGATAAATTTGACGAAGAATCTTCATGTAAAATAAGTTCATTGCTTTCTCATATGATAAATTTAAATTAATCAATTACAATCTGAATCAAAATCAAAATATATTATTATACACAGTAAGAAATCACCACTCAATCTTGGAATCATAATTCTATAGAAATTTAAAAATGTGTTGAACAAAGATTCAAAATCAAACCACAAGCCTTCATGACCCTACATTTATTACAAAATCCACCCTTCCATGCCTATCACCACAAAGAGAAAGAAAACTTGGAACGATAGAGAAATAGGGACGAAAAGTGTAAGGCAGGTTTAGAAAATGTATTGGATGGGAGAGGGTTTTTTTTTTTTTTTTTTTTTTTGGTGCTCTTTATTTTATATAACTACCGTCGAATGTAAAAATAAAAGAACATTCTCGATATTAAACAAATCTTATGTCTTTTCTCTGTACTTTTGACACGTAATTCACTTGATTTGGGTTAACATGAGAAAGTAATACCCCAAATGTGAAATTATTTAATAATTTTCAATTAATTCAAAAAATAAAAATTACTACATTTATTTTGAATCTATCAAAGAATAACATTTAGATGTGTGTATCTGCTGTCAAAATTATTAGAGCCATTCATTATTATTAAAATAATTAAAATAATAATAATATAATATTTATCAATTAGTCTTATATAAATTTTATAAATAATATAAAAATGATACTAATATTTTAAATATATATTCTAAATAATTGATTAATATTAATCTATAATTAAATAATATATTAACATTAATAAAAAATATTAATATAACATTCTCCCACTTAGTTAACATTAGTAATGTTTAAACTATTAAGAAAAAAAACTATAAGCATTAATACTACAAGATAAAGTATTCGACAGGGATATAAATCATTGTGCTCATATTTTATAAAAATGCAATATTAAGAATTGTTCAAGTATCTTCTTAAATACTATAAGAAATATAAAAATATAAGAGACGTCAATTCATACATATTATAAAAAATAAAATAAAATAATAATAGAGCAAATTATAGTTTAAAATTTCACTAATTCAACATATCAAAGAACTTAACCATACCTATATAGATTATATGAATTTGAAAACTCCAACATTCAAGTTTTTGATTAGTGGGTCAACTAACATGTTTTTTTTTTGTAGTAATGTGCTCAATGTAACGTCCTAATTTTTTTTTAATCTTAAACTGCATATCTTATTTATACCAATTCAAGATAAAATGCCAATTTTCGCATTATGATACGCCTTATTATTACAAGTTAATAAAAGTTTTTTTATGAATAGATTTATTTATACAAAATTTTCTAACTATACCATATTAAAGGAAATAATAATAAATTTGAAAATCATAATAAACTAGAAACAATCCTTCCAAATCTAGATACTAAACATGCATTACATATATCAAGTATAATAATTTACAGATTGTTATCAAAATATGTGGGACGTAAGATAATATTTACATGATCAAAATAATTATATCACAAAAACAATTTAAGTCCCAAAGCAGCCCAAAATACATTCTAATACCGAGGACCTGGTACTAGTCATCCCCATGCCATCTCTCTATCTCTTCTAAATTTTTGGAATCAAGATCATCGTCTGATCTGAGATATACATCTCCCGAGTCTGTCATAACCTCCACAGCTCTGATCTGCTCATTGGTAACTGGGGTTGGTCGTCCAAGTTTGTCATGGTCATGATATGTAAACAGATATGTGAAGTCAGCTGAAGTCCTAACCGTGACTCTGTAGATATAGATGCATAAAATATGGCGTATTCTACTTACAAGAAAAATCAAAAGGGATACTATAATATAGATCCATATCTAACATAATAATATTTCTAAGAATATCATCAATGTGTATAGTCAGCTTAAAGTGGCATGTCTTCTGTTACTCATTAAACACGTAATTAAGTCTATTATGTACAGAATTGTATATTAGTCTAATCCTTTCCTGAGGCGACGTCATCTTATTTTTCTGAAAATGTTAGTAAAGATTAGCGTCTATTCTATCATTCATAAATCATTACATCATACAAGTCAAAGTTATAACACAGGGAAAACATGTTCATCTTCACAACCGATTCGCATTACCAACATAAACACATATACACAATTCAATGATTTGTTATACTGATCCAATTTTCTCCTTTAAATACGCACTCTCAGTGCCCTATGATCACAGACAACGATGCCTCCAACATTTCTTAAAGTCTTATTCAACTAGGTAAATAGTCACCAGTTAGACCATACACATGGATATAACGTATACAATAGTCGGGCCCCTTAGCAAAGGTATAGACAAGAGTCTAGTCAGGAAATAAGTGTGAGACCATGTGACGCATTTGCTCTCAGAAAGAGTGTACACATACGCGAATGTCGCTCACCACCCTATGTTTCTTCCAGATTTTCCATCGTCTCCAGATTCTATACTAGTGTATCTCTGTAACTATTCACACTAAATTTATTCCATTTGACACTTATAGTCATTCTAAAATCATTTCTTTCTTTACTCACAAGATTGTGCTTAATAAAGCATTTTCAGACTAAGTTCATCTCATTCACACTATTAAAATATAATTTTAATTTATCACGTTAGTCAGACCAACATCATACTCTTCAAGCCAATATCATATTTTATCACAACCACAACTACTCATTTGCATATTTCATATTATTACATCATGATCACTCATCACATATTTCATGTGAACATATTACAGCCAATCAATCCTAACAATCAAACATGCACATTTTCAGCAATCATTCATGCATAATATATTTCAAACATATTCTTTCATAAAAAAATCCTTATATAATAATGCTTCAATGAGCACAAAATAAATATTTTAATAGAACAATAAAACAGAGCTCTCCTTATCTCACAGGACAAGTTTAGTGAAGAGAAGAGTAAAAAGGGTGGTCTAACATGCTAGGATCGTCTTACACCTTACAAATAAGAGTACTCTTTGAGAAGAGAAGAAATAGAGAAAATAGAGATAAAAATAAGGAGTCGAGCTCTGAGATAATTACCAATGATTCTATGGAGTAGAGGGTTTGAGTTTAGATTCAAAGTAGTTTCAGAATTTCTAAGGCTTTTCTCTGGAGGAGAGAATAGAGAGCTTAGAAAAAAGAGTTAGGAATGAGAGGTTTGGAATGAAATCAAATTTCATGTTGGAGATCTCTTAAATACCCCTCAGCCTCACGCGTTCTTACTTGAGTGACGAATAGCTCGCTTAATAACGAACTTCTCACTTGAACGAGCTCCATCTCGCCTAAGCGAGATATGCAGACAGTAATTCTCTCAACTATTTTTCTAATATGTTCGCTTGAGCGAGCCCTATCTCGCTTGAGCGAGATCACCTCTCATCTGGGCGAGGTGACGATTAGGCTGGATTTATCCTATCTCGCTTAAGCGATAATCATCTAGCCTGAGCGAGATTTCCCTGAAACCTTATGGTTCTAGGCGCTCAGTCTCGCTTGAGCAAGATTTGTCTCGCCTGAATGAGACGTCTTACACCAAACTTCTTCCAAAACCCTTATAATTCACTTCTAAATGCATTCTAATACTACTTAATATTAAATAAAGCATCATTTACTAAATAATAAAAAAGAGGGTGTTACACTCAATGTGAGTCTAAAACTCTCAAATTTTCTGTCCAATAAATAGGTATTTAATATCAAAATATTTTGTGCAAGAAGAACTCCTATTATTCTGAGAGGATTAAAATACAACAATATTATTATCATATATCACAAGTGACTTGATATACTTTCAACAACACGTGAATGCAAAATTAAAGTTTTAGCCATATAGCGTGACAAGTAGCCTAATAGCAAGTGATATACTTTACTTCTATGATAAAAATAAGTAGTTGTAAGAGTTTGTTAGACATTTTTACAAGAGATAGCTCCTCCTAACATCATAAATATATAGTCAATAACATGAAGTTGATCATATTCCATATATGTTAACATATAGTATTATGTGCCTTGCAAATACCTCATGACTTTTTTAATGGCTTTCCAATGACCTAAACCTAGGTTACTCAAGTATTTCCCTAAAAATTTAACAACAAAAGTAATGTGGGGAAGAGTAGAAAATTTAACATACATCAAACTAACAAAAGTAGAAATATATGAGACTTTACTTATCTCATTTCTTTTAATGTCATTTTGAGAGTTTATCGCCCTTTTGAACAAGTGCAGCACGTAGAGAACAAGAATGTATTCTAAACCATTTTAGGATCTTTTCAATCCTCTTTGAGGCAATCCTAGAGTGATATGTAACATATCACGATAAATCTGGATGCCTAGTACTATTGAAGCATCACCAAAGTTTTTTATATCAAAGTGTTTAACTCAACATTAATTTTGTATTTGTTAAAAGTTTAATACAATTTTCAACAAGGAGAATATCATTAACATATAAGATTAGAATGATGAAATAACTCCTA